ATTTAATCTTACAATTTTGAATACTTTAATATTCAAATATTAATACTGTAATTTTTAACACAACATTTACTTACTTACTTTAACTCTTATACTCTATTTTGCTATAACATTAATACTTCAAAATAGTAAAAAACACCGTTCATATAGAAATTCGAACAAATATTAAAACACGTGCAAGGAGTTGATGAACACACCGTGAGTAAGCCGATACACATGAGTGCGCGCGCCCCACATGTCTTTCACCGCCGGAGTATACCTATATATACACTTCCCCTCTCGTGCTTGGTAATTGTCCAAAACATAACATAAATTTATTTAATTTTAATAAGCAATAGCACAAAATCGATGTAAAATTTCCCTGGGAACACGATGGTGCAATTATTTTTTTACTACTTGCCGCGGTTTACGAGATATTTGCGAAAAACCTTATTTTTTACGGTTTTTTGACCTTTTGACCCCTTTCCTGACCACCTAGGTAAAAGATTTTTGCGGATTCGGATTCCTGAGGGTCGAATACATGTTTGCGCCCAGGTTTGATCGACAGAGGAAAAAATGGAGGTTCAGCCTTCATTTCAATGGACTATATCGAACCGAGATGGATTTGTCACTGGGATGAACCCTGTGTGCGGTCTCGTAGATTTCTCTGTAGTGTTTTCCTTCCGTCTAGTTCGAACTTCGTTGAATTCGGAGAATTTTTGATCTCCAAAATTCGTATCTGGAACGGCTCTTCCTTCTTTAAATCGTTTCGTTGGCAACTGCTGCTGCACTAGCAGCATTGGTCTGTTGTGGTGAGGTCTGTTGCGGCATAGTAATTTTGGGCTGCTCAAAGCGGTTTTTTGGGAGCGATTGCGGAAACTTCGTAGAGATCTGTGAATTTTGGTAGTTTCCGCAACGCGTCGTCCTCGGCATAGAAAAAGGTTTATATTATTGTATATCCTTTTTCTATGATCCTCGGTGTCTCCGTGGACAGCATATCGACTTCTGACGGTGTCGACTGCTGCGCTTGGAGTGATTTTTGGTCGCTCGGGGAGGTCTTGGGCGCGACGACGGAAACTTTGGAAACTGAGGCGAAAATTCTAATTATCGTCTGCGTCTCGTTGTTGGTAGTTTACCAAATACCAATGTTTTGAAGAAAAAATTACATTGGTATCAATTTCTCGAAAATGCATTAAACAATAACATAGTAAATCATTTTATTGAGAAGGGCAGAAGATAATGAAGAATCTAATAGGGCAAAAATACATATAAAGTTTTATAGATGGACTTCGTCTTAAGAATGTATATTTTAGCGTATGTAGCATAAAATACGCCTAAAAAATGATTGATCTAAATGAAATCCAAAAATATTATAGAACCTAAGTAGGCGGAGGGGATTGATTTAAATACTATATGCTTCTAACCAATTTCTAAATTCTGGTCACCTTACATATTCCTCATCTCTATTGGCTAGTAACAATACTCTTAATTTTTTACTTATCAATCGAATTTGAGACATAAAATTCTCAAATGCTACAGTGTCTATCATACTTAATTTTGATATGTGAGATAGGTAGACAGGAATAAAAACTATTGTTGGGTATCTTAAATAAATACAGCTTCTACTTCGCTGTAATGGCTGACTGTAATAAAAAAAATGATTTGGTAAGTATTAATTTAACATCCTGTATTAAGAAAAAGAAAATATATTTAAATTTTCAGCTTATTTTGATTCTCCTAAAATTATGCCACAAACTTTCAGATCAACTAGTATATTTCAGGTGTTTTTCCATGTACAAAAATCAAGATGCAATTTGAAACAAAAAGTATTCTCTAAAATATATCAAGTGCATAAAAATCCCAAAAACCTCTTAATAGAAATAATAAAAATGTATAGTCTATTATAGTGAGTACTATATAATTTGAAATTTTAAATATATTTTTTTTTAATCTCAACAGGGTTTTCATTAGTGTAGTCTTCAGTTCAGTCATCAGTTATTGATGAATAATTTTCTGTATTCTTTTAATCAGATTTGCATAAAGTGATTAACACATTAACAATTAAGCTTGTTTTTCAAAAAGGGTTTATTCACAGGGGTAGGTAAAATCATCAGTACCTGGGTGAGAAGGGAAATAGTCATTTCGAGAAATCGCATATCGTGTTATCAGATCATTTTTACAGCGATATGAGGAGCAGAGGACTTCTTCATGACCAAGAGCTATCAAGGAGTGCCATGATCACTCTCTTCGATTGATAGCTCTAAGAGATAGATTTATTATTGGCATAACTAGGTGTTAATATTTTTTTCGCTTTAATTTTGGAATATACTCGTATCCCTCCATAATTCAATGTTGTAAGCACATTAATTATTATTTAACATGTACTTTTTCATCTTCAGAAATGATAAAGATTATAAGCACTGCAAACCACAACTGGGAATAAATTCAGTATAACAAACACAAAATTGTTTAAATGTTCAGCCACGTCGATTAGTATTATAAGTGATCCATTTTTTTTACAAAAAAAATATACCCAAGTGGACAATATGATGTAATAGACGATTGTTTTAAATGTGAACTTTAATTTGATTTTTTTTTGAAATTTTAAATAATTATTCCTAGTCATTCCCAAGATACAGCAAGTTAAAAATTATTCTTTTAATATCAAGTACATAATTTTAAGAAATGTGCGTGCATTGCGCATTTTAATTTGGTTTCAAATTGATATTTTGGAAGGAACATCTTTAAAATATGTAATTTGATTCCTTTTTATAAAAAAGAGAGCAACTTATAATACTCACAGGTCAACATTTTATCTACGAATGTGCACGGAAATCGAAGATAATATTCTAGGGTTTTTGGGGTCGCTGATTACGATGAGCGGGTAGATTAGGCTCCATCACGTCAAGTTCAAGGTCATTTTAAGGTCAAACGGTCAGAAAACCTTCCAAAAATCTGAAAAAATCCATGGACATGTTTTTGAGGTCGCTGAATCTGAATCCGGTGTTTATTTTTACTTTGCATGCATCCTTGAGGTCATTCAAGGTCAGCTCAACGTCATTTGAGGGGTTTTTGAGACAAAAATGCCAAGTACTATACGAAAAAACTGAAAAAATTCATACATATGTTTTCGAGGACCCTGAATCTTAATCCGAATTCAGTCGACCTCATTTCAAGATCATTTGAAGGTCAAATGGTCAAAAAACCTTCAAAAAATCTGAAAAAATTTATGGACGTGTTTTTGAGGTCCCTGAATCCGAATCCGGTGTTTATTTTTACTTTCCATGCATCCTCGAGGTCATTCAAGGTCATCTCAAGGCAGGTATTCTAGTTCTGGGCACAATTGTGCATTTCGAAGATTGAGATTGTTACCATGTTAAGCATTAATGAGATTTATACCAGAAAAGATTCTTTGGAAAATGACTGTAGAATCCACGTAAATAAGTAGAATCCAGGCTATCTGTCCAAAGAATTTTATGTGGCTCAAATTGTCGAATTGACCACGACTAAAACATGTGGTTGCACCCAGGACACCTAAACGTGGTGACGGTGGGCAACGGATTTGTCCCACTATCCGGCAAAGTCCCTGTGTTATGGCTTCCATGCCGTCATGGCAACCACAAGTTGAAGCGTTACGGGACAGAGATTGCATGCAAAGTAAAAATAAACAACGGATTCGGATTCAGCGACCTCAAACATGTTCATGAATGTTTTCGAATTTTTGGAAATTTTGACCGTTTGACCTTCAAATGACCTTAAACTTGACGTGACGGAGCTTCACTGACCCGCTCATTGTAATCAACGACTCCAAAAACCTTGGGATACCATCCCGTGCACAAGCTTAGATAAAATGTTGACCTGTGAATCAATGTATGTGAGCATTTTTTCAATACAATTTTATGTTTGTGACTTGCACTGTATTGCTTTCGATGAATATTTAAACTATAAAATTGTTTAATTAAAGAAACTATTGATATTAGTCAAATAATACAGTCTGTTCTACAAGAGCTTACAGACTGATACATTTGCAAAAAAGAAAATGTATGAAAAATTCTTTTTCAACTATTTAGTACAATCGTTAAGCTAAAATGCGTTTGCCTAGTGTGTTGTTCAATCACCTTTTATTGTCAATTATAGCTTGACAGCGTTGAGGCATGTTTTTTGACAGATTTTTGGCAAATATGTCAGGTAAATACCTCCAAGTCTCTCAAATATGTCTGCTGAGCTAAGCTTTAATTTCATCCAATTCAATTGGATTGGCATCAGGAGACTGAGAAGGCCAATCCATTGAAACAATGCCATTTTTGCGTTTCCAATCGGTGCATAAGCGACTCCGATGTTTGGAATCGTTATTCTCTTGCACCAAACCATCTCCGGGCAGCTTTTAATAAACATTTTTCATATATTTTGACCATTTTTTAGGCGTTCAAACTCTCAAGTACAAAGGGCCAAATCCTTTTACACAGAAGCAACCCCAAACATTCACTTTCATTGCGTGACACGTTCCGGCAATACATTGATGTTTTTTTAACCTCTTTATAGTGATTTACCCATATCCTGGCAAATGCTTCAGACATCTGCAGCAGCAAACGACATTTTCGGACGTTTTGGGCGGGTGCACAAAAACACCGCTTCAAATCGGTTAGCGTACATAGAACTCATTTTAAAATTGTCACACCGGCGTTCGATAAATAATATGCAAAATAATCTCGCAGCATGAAAGACAGATAACAAATAATGTGAGGGAAAAGATCAGATCGATGTGCCATCTATTAAGACTGTGGCGAACCGCACGCACTTGAGTAACAGACTGTAATTACGAAATTCCAATTTAACGTTTGTTCTATGTTGGCTTACCTGATGATAATAAACCAGCATCCCTTTTATATAACTGGTTCTTCTTCGACAAATGGAACTTGGAGAGTACATGTTTTAATTGATGTAGTGTCGAGTTAACAGTGTTATCTATTCCCGATACACTGCGTCGATACTTTTCGTTATCTAAGTTTTCCATTAATAAACTGTTCTGGCTAATACTTTTATTGTTTACAAAGTTTCCTATATTATGAGGTTCTAATTTTGGAAATGCATCACTTACAGAAATATTCAGATTATCAGACACACTATTTAAACCAGTACTATCTATGCTTTGCATTGCCATTATGGTAAATACATTGATGGATAATATTGACAACATGATATTTATTTTGACATGTGTAAAATGACAGTGGCTTCGATTGTTTACCAAAATCTAATTTATCAGTATAAAAATTAACACGTATATACAATAAGAGTTCTCCTCTTATAAAAGAGTATATGTGAGCAATTCGCTTACACTGAAACCAATTTTTAATATTTCACATGAAAGAAAAATTAACATACAATAGGACTGTTACAGGCACTATATTAACTATTAAAATCAGTAGATTGAATACGTCATTATTCCTGCTATCTAGTTACAATATTTGTACAAGATCATAATTACACACAATTAAATAAAATAATAAAAAAATACAATTAAAATATTCCACTTTTTAAAAGTAGCGAATGTGGAATAATAAAGAGGACGAATGATCCTGATAAGACGTTGAAGCTTAAATGAGTCAATTTCATACAAGAATATAAAGTGTGATTCCACTAAAACAGTATAAAATTGCGACTTCAAATTTGATACAGATTTAACTAAAATGTAATATAATTTGTAACAATAAGAGATTTCTTCGTTGATATTATCGCCGCTCGGAGAACATACCTAGTTAATTTTGACTAGTTTGACTAAAAAGTAAGACCGCAGAACTTGTCCTCAACTAATCTGAATGTTTCATAGTCCAGGCTTCTCCAAAAAAAGTTCAAATGTCAGTCTTGAAGTGATGTTTTAGGCCTGTAATAAGAAACTTAGGTATATTAAACAATTTGTTATAATGTTTAAATATATTTATTGAATATTGATAAAAATTTATGAGAAAATAGTAAATAATCACAACGAAGTATCGGTCTAAAACTATCTAAAAACCGATTGTCACATTAGTTTAAAGTAAATAACATAACTTCAATGTATATTGTCAATGTAAATTTTAATAGCAGCTATGTAGGCACTTAAAAGAGGAATGTATAAATAATATATAAAAAAATCTTAGAATCCTTATCTCAAATATTTTATAAAAAAGTAGAAAACTTTTTGTGCATTTATATTTAGTGGACACCCTGTTATTTTAATAAAATACTGAAAAAAAAATCCCTCGAATTTAATTTCAAAATTTCGAAAAGCGCCTACTTTACATTGAACTAAAATGGTTTACATAAGTTTTTTTCTGGTCCAAGAGATATTGCTGAAGAGTAAAAATTACTTACAAACTTTTTATAAATTTCAAGAAGGAATAAAAACTTATGTAAACATTGTTACCTGATATTTAAGTCTTATATGATTATCTTCTACATATAAAACTACCAACATTCATATATGATTCCATTTCTACATTATAATGACTACCACCATAAAATAATAAATTATGTGAATCAATGTCATACATTTATGAAATATTTACATACATACATAAGTTACAGTTAGGCAGCATACTATTGCTGGTTTTAAACAAATTAGTAAAATATATGTTAAATAAATAACCGTTACTTAATGTGAAAAATATGTATATTTTTGTGGATGTTGATTAGACACTGCATATCTTTTAATCAATTTTGAACTATTTATATTAAATTATTATCTCAAATTAAGGTAGTTCTACAAATAAGTATAAGCCCAATAAAATTATTAAGTAAATACAATGAGGGCAAAAATTTATAACAAATTTGCTATTTTATGAAATCTACAACTTCTAAAAGAAATCACAATTTGTAGATTTTGCTTTATTTGTTCTCTTTTTCAAACATTCAACAATTGAACAAAAATTCTCACAAATATAGTAACAAAAACTTCGATGCATCTATTTTTAATAGAAAAATCAAGATACAGTCAAAAGAATAAACATAATAAGCTCAAGAGAAGTTATTAACTGCTAGGCTAAACTTTTCCCTAACCCTTTTTATAATTTCTAATATATTATACCTATTAATGCCATATCCTTTTGATTTCATATCTCCTAGATAGGTCTATCAAATTTTTATCACTGTATTTATTCAGAAAAGCACTCTTGATATATGTTAAAGTTAAAATACTTATAGATATTTATACAGATTTACTGTGTCATTCTGTAGAAAATATTATGTGATATAATTTACATATTCATGCATTGTATGAAAGATATAGCAAAAACAACAACTTCGAGTATTTTTTCTCAAAAATGGCATTTTTTAAATTACTAAATTTTTATTGCTAAAAAACTGATGTACTTTTAGAACAGTGTAGGAAGTTTTTACTGTATAAAATATATACTTTTCTATAAAAAAACGGGACATATTTGTATAAATAGACTTCAGTCTATTAAAGGGACAAAAGTCAAACCGAAAAACAAATGCAAACGTATAGTTTGGTGACTATATGAATGAATCTGAATTGAATTTTTCACTAAAACAGAATCTTTTTGTGTCCATACTTGAATGATGTCTCAAGGACAACCGTACTTTGACTTTAAATGACTAGATATTTAGTAAATAAAATTAAAATAAAACAACTTTAAATGAAAAGAACATTTTCAAGGTACCAAAACAATTTCAAAGAATATCAAAATAATTTTTTACTGTCTTATCTTTTTCAAAATAATTAAAAAAATAATAAGAAATTAAAATACAAAATGTTAATTCACTGTTAAATGAACAAAGCTTGAAGATTGATATAATTTTGAAAAATAACACCGACCACTTTGTTATCTAAGTTTTTTTCCTTAGATGCTTTACAAGGAAAAAGCAATTGTTGGAGACTGAAAGCCTTCCATTTTAAAGGAATATGGGAATCTTTAATGTCCTACATTTTCTTATCAGATTTTAAAGACAAGAAAATCTATACGTATAACTATGACAATTTTTCAAAACTTCCAAAAATCTACCTTCAAAATTCATTCATTTAACTGAAACAGTGAAACTGTAGTGTTTGAAAATCATATTAACTTGTATTAAATAATATGCAGGTTCATAATTTTAAACTCTTATGTTGATTTACCACTATTTATTGTGATAAAAAACAAAAAGGAGAAAATTTTACGTAAAAAAATCAAAAAGATCAAAGGGTTTGCCTTATAAATTTGTATCCAGTAGTTAATAGTTTAGAAGTTAAAGGGTGTTGAAAATAAAAAAGTTATTTTTGGGGATGGTTCAGAACTAATACTTTTTTAAGTTTTTCAATTGAAATTCAGTAGATATGGAAAATTTTTAACCTAGTTCAGCTTAATATATTAGGTTGTCAGTCACATGGCTTGTAATCATTTATGATGGCTCTGTATGTGTCTGGGTTGGAATTGAAATGAAGAAAAATTGTTTATTTCATTTTATAAAAAAATTGCTCTTGTTAAAAATTTCATCTTGTGTTCAAATGCACAAAAATGCAGTCTTTAAGTCAACCAGCTTATATAGGGCGTTTTCTTTTAAGAAATTATTAGAAATAGTGGATTTTATCCCTAGAATCAGCTACTATATTTCTATAGTCTTTTTGAATATGAATAGAATTTTTGAATAAGAATGACTTTACATAAAATGAAAAATAAAAAGTTTTTCACTGTCTTATTAAAATTTCTCTTTTCTTTTATTTTTATTTAGTCTGATAAAAATAAGAGTAATTTTATTCAGTAAACTTTCTAGAACTCTATGCAAGTAATTACTGTTCTTAATTTTTTCATGATCCAATATTTTTTTGTTTCCTTGAATTACATAAACAAAGAAATGGCCTATTGATTTGCTTTTAAGTAAATAGTACTTTGGTTATTTAATAATTGTAAAAAAGTTAATTTTTAGCAAAAGTTTAATGACAGATTTTAACATCATAAATTAACAAAAAAGGTTCCTTTAAACATATGTGTCCAGAAATGCTTTGATTTGAGATATAGGCTGCTATAATTATTTTTTTTTTAATTACAAAAAGAAAATCAGCTGAAGTGGTTTCAAATGTGTACAGGGGTATAACAAAAATTCTTGTATTTCATTTTTTTTCTTCCAAGTTACTATCAATTTGACTCATTGTTATGACAGTCTACTTTACAAAACTGCAATTTTGAACATCCTGTATACCGAAAAAGTAACGACATATTATAGGAACTATTTTAGTTAACAATGTGACACAGAATCTGCCTTTAAAGTCTAACTAAAGATTTTAGTAACATCCTTTATATTAAAAAGTTATACCCATAGTATTAAAAAAGCAAACATATATTTACATCTTGCCCAGAAAATTGAAAATTCCACGAAATGTTGAAGTGTAAAAAAATTATGATAAAAATTGTTAAAAGTATTAAGGTAATATATAATCATGTCCCTGAAAGAATTTCAAAAGTAAATGGAAATTGAACATTATTAATAACTAGCCTAACTGTATTATGTTTACCAAGTAATTATACTTCAGATGTTTATAAATTGATTCGAAGATTTTTATAAATTTATAAGAAATATTGGCGGTAATCAAAGTCAGTCTTTATCCTAGCATTCATTCCTACTACAAGTATATTTTCTACTTTCCTCCAAGTAATATATTTGATTCGTAAAAGATAAGGTAAGAAAAATTATTTGGTATTTTCTTTGTATCATATAATTAATGCACAAATAATAATACAAATCTGTATGTTTTCGTTAAAGAAATCTATTTTTCTATTTCTCGTAGTAAATTATTTTTATTAGTAGATTCAAAGTATCAGATGTTACATAATTTAATCTAATATATTATAATTATTATTTATTGTTATAATTTTATATTGTATAAGCAAATGAGAAATTAACTCATTATATTTTCATCATATTTTGAAAATAATTGTTGTTTAAACAATTTCAGAATATTTAAATAAATTTGTTTTTGATCTTTGATAAACAGTATATAATTTTATGTACTTACCTTTGATACTATAGAAAAATAAAGTTGATAAGTAAAGGAAGTTTAAAGATAAATAATCATCGGACTGTTGAAAGATCAATAATTATTAACGATAGGCATTTGAAAATACGCTAAAATTAAAAAAAANTTAGAAATACTTAACAATTCTAATTATAAAAAATTTGTATATACAAATATATATAATTGATGCAAAGTTACATCATACTAAATAAAATTCTATTTCAACGTCTTTATCAACATAGAAATATTGCCAAAACCATTTTTCAGTATACAATATTTTTTGCAAATACTTTTATTATTTCCAATAAATGTGGGATACATTTTTTTGATTTCTCTTCAACATGAAATGAATAATTTTTTCCAATAATTAATGAATTAAAAAACTATTATTTATAAAAAAATGTTATTAATTTGTATCCATATTATCGGCTAAGATAATTCAATGGTACTATATTTTAAAAACTATAAATTTTCTCTTCTGATAAACCTCTCATAAACACATGTCTTTCAGTCTTTATTTTTGTTCTAAAATGATTACTGTATTAAAATTTTCCATAAAGTGATTTGAAATTAATCACATAAAATGCCTACCTGAAAGATTTGAGCACAATCTTTAAATTAATTAATTATTAAAATTGTGTTTTCCAAAACAGAAAAATTTCATCACTGTTTTGATAACTACCTGTTATTATTAATATGGTTATAAAAAAAATACTAAAGAACCAAGTATATTGGGAAATGCGTTTTTCATAAAAAGAACTGGATTTATACTGAAAACTGAAATATATTTTCAGTGGTTGTCACTCAAATATACGATAAAAACACTTTAATTAATATCTACATTGCCTGGTGTTGATCTAGAATTTTCTTTTCTCAATAATAAACTCGTTTTG